CGACGACGACGACGCCGACGACGAGGACGACGACGACGCCGACGACGACGACGACGACGCCGACGACGACGACTACAACGAAGACGACGACGACGTCGCCAACGAAGACGACGCCGACGAAGAGGGAGGAGGGAGGACGACGACGGCGACAACGACGACAATGACGCGGGAGGAGGGAGGACGGCGACGACGCGAACGACGAAGCAGGAGGGAGGACGGTGACGCCGACGACGGCAACGACGAGGGAGGAGGGAAGATGACGACGACGACGACGGCGTCGAAATAGGAGGGACCACGACGAGACGCCGACGACGGACGACGACGACGAGGGAGGAGGAAGGACGACCACGGCGACAACGACGACGGAAACGACGACGACGCGTCAAAGATGACGACGACGACGACGAGGAAAGACATAGGACGACGAAGGCGACGACGACGACGAGGAGGGAGGACGGCGACGACGACGACGAGGACGACGACGACTACGACGCAAGAGCGCGCGCGCACGCTTTTGTTGAACATCCGTGTTGCTAAACCCTGTTTTTTTTTTGTTTTTGTTTTTTTTGCATTTTTGGACAGATTTTGAACACCCTCCGAACCCGAAGGTTTTTGAAGGATGTTGGCATGCGCGCGCGACGACGCGCGCGCATTTCGCTCATGTTTTGCAGAGGGTTCTCGCGACGGCACGCGCGCAAGGGCGTTCGAACGATTTCGACATGCGCGCGCGAAGCCCGTTTGGTAGTATGTTTTGCACATATTCAAAAACCTATGGTTTTGAGATTTCGCAAGAACGCGCGTGTGTACGTTTTTTAGAAAATCAGTGTTGCGACACTTTGTGTTTTTGTATGTGTTTGGAAATTCGAATTTGACATCCTTCCGAAACCGAAGGTTTCTGAAGAATTTCGGCATGCGCGCGCGACGACGCGTGCGTGCGCTCTTCGTCCCATGTTTTGCAAAAAGGATTATTGAAAACTCATGGTTTTTGATAAACGAGTACGCGCGCATCGCTTTTTGCAGAAGATGGCGGGGGAGGGCGATACCGGCCTGGCTGGGATAGTACGACTTGATATTTAGGATGGACGATGGGGCAGAATCATGTGTACATTGCAGTACGAAAAGGTGGATCGTTAATTTTGGGGGGTAGCAGCTATTCTTGTTGTGGAAAGAAAATCGGTGTGGTCCGATCTATGGGGTGCGAGCCACGCGGTGCAAAACATCTATATATATATATATATACATACGGTGCACTATACACACATATGTATGTTATTCCCTACCTAGGCTCTGCCTAGAAGGGTTCTTACTCGGTATGCTTAAAGGGCCGGGCAGTGCAACTCGCCCCGGGCGGTTTCCCCATTATCCGCCCCGCGGTTCCCCCAGTTACGTCCCTTTAGCTTAGCGTTGCTTATCTCATCTTAGCTTATTTCATCTTAGCTTAGCTTAGCTTCATCTCAGCTCAGGTTTATCATAGCTAGCTTACCTTCATCTTAGCTTCGCTGAACTTTAGCATAGCAGAGCACAGCATAGCATAGCATAGCGTAGCATAGCGTAGCATAGCATAGCGCAGCACAGCATATCATAGCATAGCCCAGCATAGCATATCATAGCGCAGCATCGCATAGCATAGCATGGCATAGCATAGCATAGCGCAGCACAGCACAGCGCATCATAGCACAGCGCAGCATAGCATAGCATAGCATAGCATAGCTTATCTTAGTTTAGCTTAGCGTAGCGCAGCGCTGCATTAGCATAGCATATCATAGCATAACATAGCCTATCATATCATATCATAGCATAGTGTAGCGCAGCATATCATAACATAGCATAGCATAGCATAGCATGGCATAGCGCAGCTTAGCATCGCATAGCATATCATAGCATATCTTAGCATAGCACTGCGCAGCATGCCATATCATAGCTTAGCATATCATAACATAGCAGAGCGCAGCATAGCATAGCATAGCATAGCATAGCGCAGCATAACATGGCATAGCATAGCATATAATAGCAACTAATGCTGCTTTCCTAGTGGCTCCAACTTCTAGGTAGGGTCGCACTGGGGTATTCTTTGTATACGTATATATATATATATATATACATATATGTGTATATACACATATATATATATATGTATGCGAGGGAAGCTATATGCTGCAACCTACGATATGTACTCAAAGTGGTCCTATATACGTGGTGCAAGCTACGTGGTGCAATACATGATCAGCAATCTATGTGGTGTAAGCTGTGTGGTGCAGTGTAAGCTAGCTGTTGAAATCAATGTGGTGCAAGATGCGTAGTGCAAGTTCTGCAAAAACATGTATGTGGTGTTAGCTATGTGGTGCAATACGGGTATACGTGTGTACGTATATGGTACATGGCATGGGTTACGCGGTGTAGGTTCTGTAGTGGTACGTGGTTAAAGCCATGTAATGGAGCATATGTGGTGCAACATATGTGGTGTAAGCTGTCTGGTGCAATGCATGTGGTGCAATCTCTTGCGATCGATCGCAATCGATTGCACTCGATTGCAATTGACTGCAGCGCAACGGCGGGGGGCGGGTGCAATGGGGCGGCGGCGACAGGCGGCGACGGGTGGGCGACGAGGCGGCGACGGCGATAACGAGCGCGGCGACCGACACCCAGGCGCAATGGAGCGGCGACGGACGGCGGCGCGACGGGCGGTGAAGGGCGACAACAAGCGCTGCGACCGACACCCAGGCTCAGAAGCAGCGGAGACGGATGGCGGCGACGGGCGGCGACTGCGACAGCAAGCCAGCTGGACCGACACCCAGGCTCATTTGTTTAGACCACTCACTAAACCTTACAATCACTGTTTGGGGAACAGCTTCAAGGTCGGACGGCGGGGCAGCTTTCAACATGTGGCTCTCGCTTTAGTGCCGCCCGCATTTGGTTTAAACGTTTGCAGCAGCATTAAGCACTCAGGGGTGTCGTTTTCAAAATGGGGCTTACGCCTTATCACCGCGCACATTCGTATTGCTTGTTGCAACGGTTTCAAGGATTCGTATGGTTGAAGTCCCCAGACCTTTTTCTGGCGCGATGTAAGTCTGCTAGGGCGCAACAGTCACGTTGATTCGTGGTGCTGAAGTCCTAGGAATGGCTTTCTGACACATGACACAATTTAGAAAATTCAGGACGCAGCCGTCACGTTGATGTGCGCCGTTGAAGTCATAGGGATAGCACCGTTGAGGATTCTCCGGCGGTTCCCTTCCAATTGGGCACGTCCCGCAATGAAGATACAGTTGTTGCAGGGACATGTGAAGAGGTATTTGGAGAGAGGGTTCAATTCGATATCGTTGATGCGCACAGGGCTGGTCCTCCATCCTTCTTCCTCCTTCCTCCATTTCTCATCTTCTTCCCTCATCCTCTCTCTCTCTCTCTTTCCTTTCTCCTCCCTCCCTCCCTCCCGACCTCCTCCTCGCCATTCTTCCCCCTCATCGTCATCTTCCTGGTCACATAGTGGCCGTGCCCCGATTCGGCGATGATTTTGGCCACACGCTGCGTTCCGACCAAGTCGTGTGCCTGCGTGCCACCCATGAGCTACATCGATGTTTTGGCGGAAAATTGGCCGGTTCCTACTCATGTGTGTCCTGGTTTGGGTCCTACGGGGTGAGTGGGGAAGAGTATGAGGCAGGGCGTGCTCGGTCCTCACTCGCAGAAAGAGAGAGACATGGAGAGAGAGAGAGAGACAGAGAGAGAGAGAGATAGAGAGAGAGAGAGAGAAAGAGAAGGAGAGAGAGAGAGACATAATGCGAGAGAGAGAGGGAAAGAGAGATAGAGAGAGAGAGAGAGAGTGAGAGAGAGAAGCCCACAAGCATCAATATAGAAAGAGGAGAGATAAAGAGAGAAAGAGGGAAAGTCAGACAGAGACAGAGACAGAGACAGCGACGAGACAGAGAGAGGGAGAGGGAGAGGGAGAGGGAGAGGGGGAGAGAGAGAGAGAGAGAGAAAGGGAGAGAGACAGAGCGAGAGAGAGAGAGAGACGTGGATCAACGGCAGCCCAGCCCATGCAGCTTGCCCCTGCGGCAGATGCCTCGGCGGGGCGGCGCAGCTTCCCCTGCTGCCCGCCCTCCCCCTTCCTCCCCCCCCCCTTGCCCTTCCCTTCCTTCCCTTCCTTCCCTCCCCCGTCCTTCCCTTGCCCTTCCCTCGCCCTTCCTTCCCTTCCTTCCCTTCCTTCCCCCTTGTCCTTCCCTTCCTTCCCTTCCTTCCCCCCCCCTTGCCCTTCCCTTCCTTCCCTTCTTTCCCCCTCCCTTCCTCCCTTCCCCCCCCCCCCGCCTCTCCCTGCGGCGACGCCCGCTGGCCCGCGCGCCGCCCCCCCAGAAGCCGGCGGGCCCGACGCGCCCGCCGAGGGGACGGCCGCCGCGCCGCCCACCCCCCTTGCCTTGAGCTGGGCGTGCCCCTCTAGAAGGGGAGAAGATCCAGGAATGGTCAAAGCATAGCCTGGGGACTAGCTCTTGGAGTGCTTTGTCGCGGGAGATCCACATGCGCACTTCCCGCCACACGATAGTACTCCTCCGCGCAGTCTGTGGTGTCCCCCCGACGCTCATCGCTCTTGCTGTGGAGCCGCCCTTGCAGAGCAGGCCCGCCGAGAGCAAGAGAAAACCGCCGAGGAGCGCCGGGCGCCGCTCAGAGCCCGAGGGTGGGGCATCTTTTGAGTATTCTTGGGGCATTTTTTATTGGGCTGGCCTCCGGCCAGTGCCGCGGATCCGGGGGGGCTCCGGAAGTGGAGTCTTCTATGCCCCCCTGTCCCCGGGTACCGAAAAGCGTCGGAAATGGCGTCGGAAAAATATCCCCGTGCACCGAAAAACGTAGGAAATGACGTCGGAAATAATGTACGCCCCCCCTCCCCCTGCAGAGAGAAGCTTGAGCGAGCTCAAGTCCACGCTCTCAGAAACTCACACGCTGGATCGGCGGATTTTCGTCGGAAATCCCCCTGTAGGGGGACACGCCCGACTTGGCCCTTGCCTCCGCCCCCGCCTGCTGGCCGGCCCGCCGGCTGCTGCGCCGCCGCCGCAGCGGCTGTTGTGGCCGCCGTCGTCCTGGTCGTCCTGGTCGCTGTCGTCGCCCTCGTGGAGGTGTCCATCGTCGCCGTCGTCGTGTTTGAGCTCCCGCTCCTGAAGACGAAGTGCCCACTGCATTTTTCAATCAAAGTGCCCCCCCCCCCGGGGCTCGCACTCTGTTCCTGATAAGAAGAGGTCTTGAGCCTCAAACTCTGTTCCTGGCCCCTGGTTTACAACAGCAACAACAACAGCGACGAGAACAGCAACAGCAATCAATTTAAGACTGTTCGCTCTCATCTGCTCGCGTGCCGTTCAACACGCATATCCCAAAACCTCGATGCCCGCCCTCTTCGTCTTCGATCGTGCCCCCTTGGGGGTATATCTTTCTTGCCTGCCACGCGCATTTAGCGCAGCCCCTAAAACAGGGGAAGAGAGAGCGGATGGAAGGAAGGGACAAGCGGGAGGGAGGAGGATGGAGCACGAGAGGGAGTAGCAGGAGGGGGGAGAGGAGCAGAAAACATGCGGCAGAATCAGACGGGCAGATCGAGCGGGTAGACCCTACCTGGCGGGTCGGGAAGGGTGGCCGAGGCGGCCAGGTGGAGCAGGCGGGTTGCTGAAGCGTGCGTCCGGCATGAATCGCGAGAAACTTTCGAGCGACAGCGCAATTCCCAAGTCACTCGTGAGAGAAACAAATGTGAGAGCGTGATTCGTGAGTGTCGAGGGAGTGGCGCATGAATCAATTGCGAGGAAGTCCCACGCGAGAGCGCGATTCCTGCATAATTTAGCACGATGTGGGAATACGTTGTGAGGAAGTATCGGGCTGGGACCGTTGTCGTTGTGGCTCGGGGGCCAGGGGCCCAGTTTGGTGACACTTCATTTCCCCTTCAAAAAGCATTTTAATTCAAAAAGCAATTTTTACCGAGCGGATGTGATCAACAATAACTAGTCCAACAACAACAGTAACAACAACAACCACAACAACAACCACAATACCATTATACCATCAGCAACAACAGCAGGAGCAACAACAATGGCTCCCGTATGATATTTCTGCCAAGAGTAGTACGGAGTCGTGCTTTCGCTTCAGGCTTCGCTCAATTTTCCCAGGAGTCGCGCTCGCGCCTGGGACGTCCTTCCAATTCGTTCAGGCGCCACGCCCTCGATACTCAGGAACCACGCTCTCGCCCTGGACTCCTTCACGATTTGCTGTGGAATCGCGGTTTCGCCTGCGACTTCCTCGCCAGCCATGCAGGACCCACTGGACTCACGCCTCAGCGGCCCGCCCGGCCAACCCGCTCGTCAGGGTCCGCCCGGTTCGGGCGAAGAGAATTATGCGCATGCACCGGTCCTGGCCAGGCCCATCCTCGGCCCCAGGATTGGTACAAATGCCTTCCTGGTCAAGGCAGGAGGGCGTATGCACCGATCCTGGGCTCAGGACCGACCTGGCCAAACAATCTGCGTATGTGCACGGTTCTTTCTCCTCGACCGGCAGGGCCCGCAGTCGCCCCGCGCTGCCCCTCGCTGCTCTTCGTAGCTCCGCGGTCGCCTCTCGCGGCCCCTCCGCGGCCCGTCGTGGCCCCCCCACGGTGCCCTCCGTGGCCCCGCCGCCACGGCCCCCAACGGTGCCCTTCGCGGCCCCGCGGTCGCCCTTCGTGTCGCTGTTGCTGCCCTCCGCGGCCCCGCGGCCGCCATTCGCGGCCCTCGTCACTGCCCTTCGTGGCCTCCTCGCTGCCTACTCAGGCCCCGTGTGCGTCCTTCGTGGCCCCGCTCGGAGGCGCAACGAACCCTTGCGGCGCATCAGTGCGAGCGATCTCCGTAGCAGCTCGTCCCCTTCCTTCCCTCGCCCCCCTTTCCCTCCCTCCCTTGTCCTCGCTCTTTTTATGTGTTCCCTCTATCGTCTTCCAGTCCTAGGGACTGCGAGAACAGCTCGTGGCAGGCAAGAAAGATCTGCCCCCCCCAAAAAGGGTACGATCGAAGACGAAAAGGGCGGGTATCGAGGATCTGGAATCTACGTGTTGAGTGACACTTGACCAGATAAAAGCGAACAGTTTGAACATGATTGTTGGTTTTTCAATCTCGAACGAACAATTATTGTTGACTCCCTTCGGCGATCCTTGTTTGTTTAAATTCAAGTGCTCCTCCCGGGGCTCGAACCCTATTTCTTACAAGGGAAAGTTTGAGGTCACCAAACTGTGCCCCTGGCCCCTGGTTTACAACAGCAGCGGTTCCCGCCTGATACTTCCTCACAATGTATTTCAATGCGAGAGCGCGATTCCTTAGTACATTGCAAGCAAGTCTCCAGCGAGAGCGCGATTCCTGAGTAAAATGCGAAGAAGCTCAGGCGGGAACGGGGGTCCTGGCTAAGCTGTGAGGAAGTCTCAAGCAGGAGCCGTTGTTGCTGTAACCCGGGGGCCAGGGGTACAGTTTGAGCCGAGTGATTTTGCCAGATAAAAACACAGGGTGCGAGCCCTTGGGGAAGCTTTACTATTGAAAAACATCATGGTCAACAATATTCATTCTTCAGTAGTTAAAGTTCAGCAAAGAACAACAGCAATGACAACAGCAGCAGCAGCAACAGCAACAACAACAATAATAACAACAGCAGCAACAACAACATCAACAACAATCAGTTTCAGACTGCTCGTTCCTATCTTCTCACGTGCCAACCAATACGTATATCCCAAACCCTCGGTACCTGCCCTCGTCGTCTTCGATCGTACCTCCTTGGGGGTATATCTTCCTTACCTGCCACGCGCTTCGGTGCAGCCCCTAACCAAGGCAAGAGAGGACGGGCGGAAGGGGGAGGGAGAATAATGGAGCACCAGAGAAATTAGCAGGAGGGGGGAATGGTATAACCAGACGGGCAGATCGGGTGGGCAGGCCCATAGCGGGTAGGTCGGGAAGGCGGGCCCAGGCGCCAGGTCGAGCAGGCGGGTTGCTGAAGCGTGAGTCCTGCGTGAATCGCGAGGAAGTCTCGAGCAATAGCGGTTCCCAAGTAAATCGTGAGAAAAGCTAAAGGGAGAGCATGATTCCTGAGCGCCGAGGGCGCATCGTCTGAATAAATTGCGAGGAAGTCCAACGCGAGAGCGCGATGCGTACATGAATTGTGAGGAAGTCCCGCGCGAGAGCGCGATTTGGGAATACATTGTGGGGAAGCCTCAGGCGGTAGCCGCTGTTGTTGTTGTTGTTGTTGTTGTTGCGAACCGGGGGCCAGGGGCCCAGTTTGAGCCCCGTGCTTTTCCTTGATAGGAAAACAGGGTGCGAGCCCTGGGGGAAACACTTCAATGGAAAATCACCATGGTCACCGGAAGAGGGGGATCAACAATAATTGTTCTTCCGTAGTGAGAGTTCAATCACAACAGCGGCAACAACAACAGCAGCCTCAACAACAACAACACCAACATCAGCTATCATGTTAAGTCTGTACGTTCTTATCCGCTCGCGTGCCGCTCAACACGTATATCCCGATCCCTCGGTACCCGCCTTTTTCGTCTTCGACCGTACCCCTTTGGGGCGGGCAGATCGGGCGGGTAGACCCTACCAGGCGGGTCGGGAAGGAGGGCCTAGGCGGCCAGGTCGAGCAGGCGGGTTGCTGAAGCGTGCGTCATGCATGAATCGCTAGGTTGCGTCGAGCGACAGCTCGATTCCCAAATTTATCGTGGGGAAGCCCGCAGCGAGAGCGTGACTCCTGAATGTCGAGGGCGCGGCGTCTGAATACACTGCGAGGACGTCCAACGCGAGAGCGCGACCCATGCATAACTTGCGAGGAAGTCCCGCGCGAGAGCGCGATTCGGGAATACACTGTGGGGAAGCCTCAGGCGGGAGCCGTTGTTGTTAAGTTTCGGGGGCCAGGAAGACGCTCCCTGATAAACAAAACAAAAAGCGTGTGAGCCCCAGGAAGGGCATCTCCATGTAAAAGAAATCGCGCGTTGCTGGAGTGGGGGGGACCAACAGTAATTCTTCTTTAGCAGTGAGAGTTCAACCATACTTTTAGGATTTGTCGCTCTTGTCTGCCCGCGTGCCGGTCAAGACGCATATCCCAGGCCCTCGATGCTCCCTCTCTTCGTCTTCGATCGTACCCCCTTGGGTTCATATTTGTCTTACCTGCAGCGCGCATTTCGTGCAGCCCCTAAGGCTGGGGAAGAGAGGTTGGGCGGAAGGAAGGGAGCACGAGGAGGAAGGAAGGAAGGGGGGAACGAAGGAAGGGGAGGATGGGTGGAAGGAAGGAAGGAAGGGGAAGAGAGGATGGGGGGGGGAGGACGAAGGAGCACGAGAGGAGGGAGTAGCAGGAAAGGGGGTAGGAGCAGAACAAACGTGGCAGAACAAGAGGCACATATCTTGCGGGTAGCACCGCCAGGCAGGTCGGGAACGGGCCCAAGCGGCCACGTGGAGCAGGCGGGTTGTTGAAGAGTGCGTCCTACACGAATCGCGAGGAGGTCTCGAGCGATAGCGCGATTCCCAAATAAATCTTTAGGACAGAGTGTCGAGGACGAGGCGTTTTAATAAATTGCGAGGAAGTCTCACGCGAGAGCGCGATTCCTGCATACATTGTTAGGACGTCCCGCGCGAGAATGAGATTTGGGAATACGTTGTGAGGGAGTATCAGGTGGGAACCGCTGTCGTTGTAAATAGGGGGCCAGGGGCGCAATTTGGTGACACCCAGCTTCCCATTGTAAAACACCGAGCGCGAGCCCCCGGCTAAACACTTAACTGGAGGAAAAAACGGTCACCGGGGAGGGGGGAATCAACAACATTCATTATTTAGAAATGGTAATCCAACACCAATAACAACAGCAGCAACATAAACACAACAACAACGACGACGACAACAACAGCAGCAGCAGCAACAACAACACCAGCACCATCAGCAACAACAACAACAACACGAACACCACCAACAACAGTCCACCACCAACAACAAACGCAACGACAACATATCAACATAACCAACATAAGCAGCAACCACAACATCAATATTCATTGTTAGCCTGTTTGCTCTTATCCGCCCGCGTGCCATTCGACACGTATATCCCAAACCACCGGTACCCGCCCTTTGCGTTTTCGATCGTGCCCCCCTCGGAGGTATATCTTCCCTATCTGCCGCGTGTAGTTGGCGCAGCCCCTAAAACAAGGGTCAGAGGCGAGGAATGAAGAGACAGGGGGAGGGAGAAGGATAGATCACAAGAGAGATTTGCATGAGGATGGTTCGGAGCAGACGCACAGAACGGCAGAACTCGACGGTCGTGTCGGGCGGGCGGACCTCAACGGGCAGGTCGGGCGGGCGGGCCAAGACGGCCAAGTCGAGCGGGCGGGTCGGTAAAGCGTCAACCCATCATGCAAAAAGTTTCGAGCGATAGCGCGATTCCCAGGTAAATCGTTAGGACACCCAGCCCGAGAGCGTGATTCGTGGGTCTTGGGGCACGGCGCCGCAATACACTGTGAGGATGTGCCACGTGAAAGCGCGACTCCTGCATACATGCTGAAGACATCCCGCGCTAGAGCGCGAACTTCTACTTTCCCACAATGTACTCAAGCGCCGCGCTCCCGACACTCAGGCACCCAGGAGTCGCGCTCACGCTATGGACTCCCTCAGAGGTCACTTAGGAATCGGGATCTCGCTGTCCTTCGTGGCCCCGTTGCAGTCCTTCGTGGCCCCCTCGCTGCCCTTCGTGGGGCCGTTGCAACCCTTCCTGGCCCCTTCGCTGCCCTTCGTGGCCCCGTCGCTACCCTTCGTGGCCCCGTCGCTGCACTTCGTGGCCCCGTTGCAACCCTTCGTGGCCCCCTCGCTGCCTTTCGTGGCCCCGTTGCAGCCCTTCGTGGCCCCCTCGCGGCCCTTCGTGGCCCCGTTGCAGCCCTTCGTGGCCTCCTCTCTTCCCTTCGTGGCCCCATTCCAGCCCTTCGTGGCCCCCCCGCTGCCCTTCGTGGCCCATATATGCGTGCGCTTCGTAGCCCCCGCTCGTTCGCGCCCGTCGTGGCTCCATATGCATGCGCTTCGTGGCCCCGCTATATCCTTTGTGTTGTTTCCCCGCTGCCCTTCGTGGCCCCGTTGCTGCCTTCAGTGGCCCCGTCCTTGCCCTCTGCGGCCCAATTTACGCATGCCCTTCGTGGCCCCCGCTCGTTCGCGCCCGTCGTGGCCCCATATACATGCCCTTCGTGGCCCCGCTGTCGCCCTTTGTGGCCCCGTCGCTGCCCTACGTGGCACCGTTGCTACCCGCACTGGCACCGTCGTTGTCCTCTGTGACCCCGCATTATCTGCCCTTCGTGGCCCCCGGTCGTTCGCGCCCGTCGTGGCCCCATACGCATGCCCTCCATTGTCGCGCTGTCGCCTTTCGTGGCCCCCTGCCTGCCCTTCGTGGCCCCGCTGTCGCTCTCGACCTCTCTCGTCGTCGCCGTCGCCGTCTTCGTCGTCGTCGTCTTGGTTGATCCCCTGTCCGTCCCTCTTGGGGTCGGGCTGCCGCCGAGCAGCGCTGCCGCTGGCCGGGTGTACGGTCCGCGGCCGCCCCGCCGCTTGCCGGGACCCGGCATGCATGGAACAAGTATATACCCCCCAAAGGTGTACGATCGAAAACGAAGAGGGCGGGTATCGAAGGTTTGGGAAATCTTCGTTGAATGACGTTCGAGCAGATCAGGTCGAGCAGTTTTAACATGATTGTTGTTTGTGTTGGTGTTTGTTGTTGTTGGTTGATTGTTATTGTGTGTTGTTGTATGTTGTTGTTGTTGCTGTTGTTGTCGTCGTTGTTGTTGCTGTTTATTGGTGTTGTTGGTATTGTTGGTGTTGGTGTTGTTGTTGTTGTTGTTGTTGTTGTTGTTGTTGTTGTTGTTGTTGTAGGTGTTGTGGTCGTGGTTGCGGTTGTGGTGATCGTTGTTGTTGCTGCTGTTGGTGCTGTTGAATTTTAATTTTCAGGAATCATTAGTATTGATCCCCCCTCCAGGGCACATGGTGTTTTTCAAGTGAAGTGCCCTTCCCATGGCTCGCATCAAGTTACTTATCAGGGGTCTTGAGTCTCAGAATTGGGTGTCGGCCCCCAGTTTGCAACAACAGCGGCTCCCGCCTGATACTTCCTCACAATGTATGATCAAATCGCGCACTCGCGCTGGACGTCATCACAATGTATACAGGAATCGCGTTCTCGCGTGGGACTTCCTCGCAGTTTATTCAGACGCCGCGCCCTCGACATTCAGGAGTCACGCTCTCGCTGTGGAGTTCCTTACCATTGATTTGGGAATCGCGCTATCGCTCGAGACGTCCTCGCGATTCATGCAGCACGCACGCTTCAGCAACCCGCCTGCTCGACCTGGCCGCCTGGGCCCGCCTTCCCGACCCGTCAGTTAGGGTCTACCCGCCCGATTTGCCCGTCTGATTCTGCGGCGTGTTTTCTGCTCCTCGCCCCTCTCCTGCTGCTCTCTCTCTCTCTCTCGTGCTCCTTCCTCTCTCTCGTGGTCCTTTCCATCCGTCCTCTTCCCCTGCCTCAGGGGCTACACGAAATACACGCTGCAGGCAAGAAAGATATATACCCCAATGGGCCACGATCGAAGGCGAAGAGTGCGGGCATCGAGGGTTTGGGATATACGTGTTGAATTGCACACGAGCAGATCACACCGAGCAGTCTTACCGTTATTGTTGTTGGTGGTGTTGTTGTGGTTGTGGTTGTGGTTGTTGTGGTTGTTGTGGTCGTGGTCGTGTTGGTGGTTGTTATTCTTGTTGTTGTTGGTGTTGCCGTTGTCGTCGTCGTAATGTTTGTCGTCGTCGACGGGTGGAGGACGGCGCCGGGAAGGGGAGGAGGGGGACGAGAGGTGGGGAGGAGGGAGGAGGGAGGAGGGGCGGGGGGAGGGCTAGGAGAGGAAAGGAAGGGGAGGGGGGGAGAGAGATGAGGGAGGATGGAAGAAAGAGGGGTGGATGCATGGGGAGGACTGTGCGAAGGAGATGTGAGGATTTTGGTTCTGTAGGTGTACAACAATAGTAGTAGTCGTAGCAAAGTAGCAGCAGCAATAGTAGTAGCTAGTACGAGCAGTCGTAGTCGTAGACGGAGGAGGAGGAAGAGGAGGAGGAGGAGGAGGAGGAGGATCAGATAGTAGGTAGTAGGTACTAGGTAATAGAGTGTGTGTGTGTGTATGAGGAGAGGGATGGGGGAGACAGGGTGGGGAGGATGAAGGACGAGGAGTGTCCTCCCGCGTCCTCCATCCTGCCGCGCGTCTGGGCGTGCGTGCGCACCTGCTGCCCCCCAGCCGCGCGGAGGCCGACGTGGACCCGGCCCTGAAGGACGCCTGCAACATCAAGGCCCCCAGCGCAAGCTCGGGTGTGGACCGCACGACGGAAGATGAGCGGAGCAGCAGGAGGAAGAGGAGGTCTGAGGAGGAACATAAGAGAAGGGCAGACGCACCCGCATATGCTTATGCATACGCATATGTATGTATGTATGTCTGTGTCTGTGTCTATATATATATATACATGTTAAGTTCCGTTGGCGTCTTGGCCCAGAGCGCTTAGCACACGAGGCCACTCCTTGGCTTGCAGAGTTCCAGGGAGCCAAACAGATCCGTGTCACGAAGCACCAACGCTTCAGCCAGATAAGTGCATCCATCATCATCATCACCATCATCATCACCATCATCATCTTCATCATCATCACCATCATCATCGTCGTCATTGTCGTTATCGTCATCGTCGTCGTCATCATCAGCAGCATCATCGTCATCATTGTCATCGTCATCACCATCACCTTCATCAGCATCATCATCACGACCACCACCATCATCATCATCATCATCATCAGCATCATCATCATCATCATCATCTTCATCGAACTGCCTCCATCGTTTATCATTACCATCATCATTACCAATATCGTTATCGTTCTCGTTCCCCGTATCAGTATCATTATCACTGTTGCGGTCAGTCTCATCACCAGCACCAGCACCGTCACCATCACCATCACCATCACCATCACGACCACCATCATCATCGCCATCACCATCATCATCACCAGCATAATCACCACAATCACCATCATCATCACCATCATCATCATCATCATCATCATCATCATCACCATCATCACCATCATCATCTTCATCAGCAGCAGCAGCAGCAGCAGCATCATCATCATCATCATCATCATCATCATCAGAGAAGATCAGAGGAGGAACAGACACCGATACCGCTACCTTGCCAGCGTTTTCGCCTCTCTGGCTCCCCCCCTGGGAGGCCCTCGTCGCCACGGCTGGATTCGCTTCGAAATCTTGGCCAGAAAGCACTCAGGGCGAGGGCTGTGGAGTATCAGTATCAGTATCTGCTAGCTTTCCGGTTGAGGGAGGAGGAAGGAGGGGTCAATGGCGAAGGATGAGGGCGGGACGAGGGGGGAAGGAGAGAGGGGCCAGGATGGAGGAGGAGAAGGTTCAGGAGGAGGAGGAGGAGGAGGAGGAGGAGGAGGAGGAGGAGGAGGAGGAGGAGGAGGAGAGAGGAGGAGGAGGAGGAAGGAGGAGGAGGAGGAGGAGGAGGAGGAGGGAGGAGGAGGAGGAGGAGGAGGAGGAGGAGGAGGAGGAGGAAGGAGGAGGGGAGGAGGAGGAGGAGGAGGAGGAGGAGGAGAGAGGAGGAGGAGGAGGAGGAGGAGGAGGAGGAGGAGGAGGAGGAGGAGAAGAAGATCAGGAGGAGGAGAAGTTTCCTTTGCACGCGAACTCATGAAACACACATGGTGCTTGAGGCTTCAGGTGACTTCGCTTCGTGGTGCACAAGGGTTTCTTGCTTATCAATTTCAGTGGCCTCTGGGGAGAAGGAGGAGGAGGAGGAGGATGTTCATGATGAGGAGCAAGTGGGGTCCAGACAACGGATACCACATTTGTCTGAAGGGCGTTGTCTCGCTCACGACGGTCTCTTATTCTGCGTCATCTTCCCCCTGCTTGCCAGAGATCTTGGCCGAGAGTTCTCATGCAGTGGGGGCCCATGCCAAGAAACACCCTGCTTGCCTCCAGGGTGCCCTGGGTTTCTTGGGTTTCGATGGCTTTGCGATGGAGAGCGCGACGCTCCCGCACCAAAACTCAGTGGACGTCCTGGGGTCCCAGGGGTGGGTTTCTTGTGGGAGGTTTCTTGTGGACTGACCTCCGCTGTAGCACTTGGCTCGCAGTGCGTCCGTGCAGCCCTCTCTCTCGTGCCAGCGCGACGTGCCCGCGGCCCCGGCCTGTGCCGGTGGCCCCATCGCGTGTCCGCGCGCGCGCGCCGCCGCCTCGACGCCCGCAGGAGGCCGTCAAGGGCTCGGAGGGCTCGGCGACGCGCCCCTGCTTCCTGCACCGCCGCCCACGGGTTCAGTACAGTCGGGGCGCTGAAGAAGGAGCCCTTTTCGCTGGGGAGGGGCTCGGTGTTCCCTGATTGTCTCACAGTCTGCCGCAGGTTTTCCTCAGGTTTTCGGTGGGACGTCGAGGTTTGACTTGTGGAGAAAAGGGGCCTCGTTCCTTATTTTGGGTTCCTCAGGTCAACGCCCCGACGGTATCGTTCAACCGATCCCTATCCCCATCCCCATCCGCATCTCGAGCCCCACCCTTCTCGCCGCCTCGGTTGGGGCTGTGCCCCTCGAGGCCCCCAAGAGAGCAGCCCATATCTCCCCATCCAGGGGGTAATCAAATCGGCCTGCGGGGCCCAGCCCACGCTGGTGGGGATGGGGATCGCTCACACGATGCTCTGCAACAAAAAAAAAAAAGGATTGCAAACAAAAACCCAAAAAACAAAAAAACAAAAAAAACAAAAAAAATGCAATCCTAGGTTTTTTTGCAAAGGGTTACGAGCAGCAGCAGCAGCGTCGCATGACCGGGCAGCAGCGGGCGGGATCAGCGCAGGGGCAGTGGGGACCGGGAGCAGGAGCTGCCCTCTCTTCCCCCGGCCAGGAGTGCCCCGTGCCGCTGCTGCACACGGCACGTGCGATCCCCGCCGGTCAATCTTGATGGCTGCTGCTCCGCCTCCACGTCCTTATATCCTCCTGCGTGGTACAGTGATGATCCGCATTTGTTCTTCCCCAATTCCCTACCCCTCTCTCATTCTCTTTCGTTGTTTCTCTCCACGGAGGGATCTCACTGTCGACGTCAGGGAGAGAAGAATGGCGGCTCCTTTTCAAAGTCGAGCTCTCGTCTGAGATTCCCTCGAGGTGCATGATCATACAGCTTGAACTTCCCAATGCTTGCAAGGATGGATGGCGTTCTCTAAGAAACTCGCATTCTCGCTCCGCGCGCTACAGGCATTTTCGTACAGTTGCCAAGCATATGGGTGGAGGGCGAGTTTCTCTCAAACTTATCGCGTATTGTAGCGCTTGTGGTCGAAACCGAAAATGATCACCAGTGTGCGCTTCAAGACAACGAGGGCTCTCACACCATGCAGGTCCACGAGGCCTCGCCTTTCTTACGGCTGCTCGCCGCAGCGCAGGGGCAAGCTGTGCCGACTTGAAAGGACGGTACTCGGGACGGGTGTTGTTGGGTTTGCTCTGTGATGTGCGCTGGGGGGTGCAACAGCATCGATGGTGCGTGCTGGGTTTGCTCTGGTCCTCCTCCCCGTCTCCTCCTCCTCCTGCTCCTCCTCCTCCTCCTTCTCCCGCCTCGTTCCCATCTTCCCACCTCCCTCGTCCGCACTGAGCGCAGCCCAGGCGAGCGGGAACCCAGCGGAGCTGCTGCCGAAGCTGAAGCAGTGCACGGCCGCGCTGGAGACTTTCGCGGAGAAAGTCCAGGCGCTCCCCCGGGCCGGGCGGGAGGCAGGGGCGTCCTTCGCCCTCGCCCCTCTTCCCTCCCTCTCCCACTCCTGGGCCCTCCGCAGCCGTTGGCAATACTCTTGAGGACCTTCTTGGGACATTATTTAATCGCTTCGCTCATTCCGCCGGCCCTGGAGCGCTATTTGGGGCCTCTTGGGGCCGCCTTGGGGGCTTCTTGGGGGCTTCTTGGGGAGCGTCTTGGGGCTCCTTGGCGGCGTGTTGGGACATCATTTTTTTCCGAGCGTCCCGCACTCCACGGGGGAAAGGAGCTGCCGAGCCCCGTCCGGAGAAAGCAGCCGTCGGGCATCGGAGGCCTGGCCAACCTCTGCCGACGGCACTATCCGGCCCAGCAGGCGCCAGGGCACCCCTCGCCGCGCAGGGGCCGCCGGCAAAGCTCAGGACTGAGGAGGACAATCAGCGTGCGCGGAGCGTGGTGGTGAGGGTAAGTGAGGCGAGGAGGAGGAGGAGGAGGAGGAGGAGAGGAGGAGGAGGGGGAGAGGAGGGGAGGAAGGAGGAGGAGGAGGAGGAGGGAGGAGGAGGAGTGAGGCTGGTGAAGAGGGCGGAGGGCCCGCTCGTGGCCCCCAGCGCAGAAGTCGCGGCAGCGCCGCGCCTCCGCGCCCGCCCGCAGGTCCGCCTCTTGCGGCAGCGACCCGCCTCTTGCGGGAGACCGGCCCCGGCGCCGCCACGCCTCGTGCCGCCTCGCCTCGTGCCGCCCCCCTTCCCGCGGCGGATGGCACGGTGGCCTCGCGCACGGCTCCAGATCGAGTGCGGGGGCCAGGCCGCAGCGCCGCGGTCGGATACCGCGGGAGTGCCCGTTCCCTGCACGTGCTGCCGCTCCCCAGTGCCGCTCGGCGTCCGTGCCGCTCGCGGCGGTGCTGCGGGAGTCCGTGCCGCGGGCGATGCTGCCGAAGTCCGCCGTGCTGCGCGCGGTGGGTTTGCTCGAGTCCGTCGTAGGACTCGCGATGGCGGTGCTGGACTCCGCCGCGCTGCCCCCGGTGGTGCTGCCGAGGTCCGTCACGCTGCTCGCGAGGAGCTGCCGGAGACCTCTGTGCTGCCCCCGGTGGGCCCGCCGGAATCGTCCTGCTGCTCTCGGTGGTGCTGCTGGAGTCCGCCGTGCTGCCCCCGGTGGTGCTGCTTGCTGGAGCCCGTCGTGTTGCTGACGACCTGTCACAGGTCACCTGTGCCGCCAGGCTTCGCCGAGGCCACCGTGGCGGCGCCGAGGCCCGCCGCGCTGCCTGCAGGCGGTGCTGCCAGAGTCCGTCTTGCTGCCCGCGGTGGTGCTGCGGGGACCCGTGCTCACCAGCCTTGAACTTATCCCTATCCCTAAGATTGACACGCTAAAAGGAGATGACAATCTCAGGGATGCAGCCTCAGAAACTGAGGAAACCCCTAAGATCGCCATCGTGATGAGGCGATGCCCAACATAGGGATAGGGATATGTTCCAGGCTGGGAACCGTGCTGCTCCCGGTGGGGCTGCCGTGGCTCGCGGCGCCGCAGGCGTGACGGGCGGCCTGCGCCGGCTGGAGTGGCGGGCGGCACGCGCCAGCGGGCGCGGCGGGCGCCTCGCGCCGGCCCGCGTGGCGGGCGGCACGCGCCGGTCGCCGCGGCGGGCGGCTCGCGCCGGCGGGTGTGGCGGGCGGCTCGCGCCTGCCCGCGTAGCGGGCGGCTCGCGCCGGCGGGTGTGCTGCTCCCGGCGTTGCTGCTGGAGTCTGGCCTGCTGCCCGCGGTGGTGCTGCTGGGGTCCGCGCTGCTCGCCGTGGTGCAAGTCTCCCCCTCCTTCCCCTGCCTGCTCCTCCCTGCTGTGTCCTTCCTCCGCCCCCTTTCTCCGTTTTCAGTCGTCGTCGACGTCCTCTTCCCCCTACTCTCCCCTCCTCCTGCTCCTTCTCCTCCTCCACCTCCGCCTCCTTCTCCTCCCTCTCCTCCCCTTCTCTTTCCCACTTCTACTCCCTCCCTCCCTCCCTCCCCCCCTCCCTCCCTCCTTGCCTCCATCCCTCCCCCACCCTGCTGCTGGTGCTACTTCCCCGTTCTCCCTCCTCCCACCGCCATCCTTCCTCCACCTTCCTCCTCTCCTCTTCATGCTCCTACTCCTGCTCCTGCTCCTGCTCCTCCTCCTCATCCTCCTCGTCTTCCTCTTCTCCCTCCTCCTCCATGATTCTCTTCCGCATTCCCGTGTTCCTCTGGTGCTCCTGCTCCTCCTCTTTCTCCTCCTCCCCTTCCCTTCCCCCCTTCCCCCCCTCTCTCCCCCCTCCTCCCGTTTCCCCCCGCCCATCTCCCCTTCCCTTTCCTTTTACCTTCTCCTTCCCCTCCCCCCTCCCTTTCCCTTTCACTTCCGCTCCCCCTCCCCCTCCCTTACCCCCCCCCTCCCCCTCCCCCATCCCCTGCCCTTTCCCCCCTCCTCCCCTTCACAATTACACACTATGAAGACTACTCTCCTCTCTCCCCTGACTCTGTCTGGAGAGTGTCCCGTACTCTCCGCGTATTGCTCTTACACAGGATTTCGTTGCTTGTTCTTCCCTGCTAAAAAGCATCCAGTCGTTTATGGTTCTTCCAAAATGGTGCTCCCGCTGCAACGCCGCCCTCATTTCCGCGCTTCGGTCATTCAAAATCGTGCTCCCGCCGCAATGCTGGCCTCGCTCCCGCGCCTCCAGTTGTTCCAAATCGTGTTCCCGCAGCAGCACTGGCGTGTTCGGACCCTCCTAGTAGCGCCGTCGCTGTAGCGCTGGCCTCGTTTCAGTGCTTCGGTCCTTCCAAATCGTGCTCGCGCTGCAGCGGTGGCCTTGTTCCCGTTTATGGTCCTGGCCTCGTTCCCGCGTTCCAGTCCTTCTAAATCGTGTTCCCGTTGTAGCGCTGGTCTCATTTCCGTCTGTCCTGGCCTCCGTCGGTCCCATGCCACGGCATGCAATGCGATGTTGTGTTGCACACCGCTGTGCGATGCCAAGCGTTGCGTTGCTCTGCTTTGTGATGCAATGCGTCACTATGCAATGCCACGCCATGCTATGACATGTCATGCTCTGCCGTGCTCTTCTGCGCCGTGCTCTTAAATCTATCGCGTACCATCTTGGGATCATTGCCCTGCTTGACATCCGACTGTGCGAACATATCGGAGGTCTACGCCATGGAAAGGGATGGGAGGGAGGGGTAGGACGTCAGGTGTGACGCCAGCGCACCTAGCTTGCCTCCCTCCCCTGTTTCTTAACTCGGGCCTGTCCCTCTACAGGGGGAATATTCAAAATGGTCAAACAATAGTCTGGGGACTATTGTTTGAGTACCTTTTTGGAGTTTTTTTGTATGTTTTATTTTTCGTCCGAAATCCCCCTGTAGGGGGACACGCCCGACTTGACCCTTTTCTCGCCTCCTCTTGCTCCCGCCGCCCACCCCTCCCGGCGCCCACGCGCGAGGCTGGGCGCGACGCGAGCGCGGAAGCGAACAAGGCGTACATGGAGCAGTTCAAGGCGGACCGACACCCCCTGCCCTGGGGCCCCTCCCCCTCGAGTCGCCACCGAGGGGCCCGACGATGGAGGAGGAGGAGGAGGAGGAGGAGGAGGAGGAGGAGGAGGAGGAGGAGGAGGAGGAGGAGGAGGAGGAGGAGGAGGAGGAGGGAGGAGGAGGAGGAGGAGGAGGAGGAGAGGAGGAGGGGAGGAGGAGGAGGCGGAGGAGGAGGAGGAGGAGGAGGAGGAGGAGGAGGAGAGAGGCGCCAGGAGGGCAGCTCGGCGTGTGGGCGGCACGTCGGGGCTCTTGGAGTGCATTGCATTCCGCGCGGCGGGCCAGCGGCGTCGGTGCCCTGGGGGGCCTGGGGCGGCACCCTGGCGCTCTGGCGGTGGTGCCGCTGGGGTACGGGCCTGCCGTCTCAGGTCCCTCGGGGACCCTGCGTTTTGGGGCCGCCGGGGTACTTCCCCCGGGCTGGCGCGGATCGGTCTTCTGGTCCGCGTCGGCCCGCGTGGTGCGTGTGCCTGGCGTGGGGGCAGGCTCCAGCCGCTCTGTTGGCCTTTGCCTTGGTATCGCGGGGCAGTGGCGTGGCTGGGCTGGGGGGCCGGCCATTGGGGTACGGCTCAAGGGCTCAAGGCCTGTATCGCCTGGCCCCCTCTGGGCAAGGGGGCCTGTTGGGCAGGCCAGGTGGCCCGTGCTGATGGGCCAACTTCCCACCACCACTACCATAGGTAGGGCGGGGGAGAAGGGAGGATTGGGAGGTCCTCCTCCTCCTCCTCCTCCTCCTCCTCCTCCTCCTCCTCCTCCCTGTGGTAGTGGTGGTGGGAAGTCGGCCCATCACGCGCCGCGTTCCCCGCGCGGGGGCGTGAGGTAACTTCTGCCGCCCGGTGCTGGAGGAGTCGGGTGTTGGAAGAGTCAAGGCAGGCGTGGGGTCCGCTCACCTGCGGTGGGTCGGCGCTGCTCCTCGGGCAGTGCAGCTGTGGCCTGCGCCTCCCTCCTTTTTGTCCCTTCCCTTTCTTCTCCTTCCTCCCGCGCCCTCCGGCCGCCTGAGGCCCCGCCCCCCCTCCGCGCCCTGTGTCCCCAATTAGTGCTTTGCGCGGCCCGCCTAGCTCTTAACCGGAAGAGGCTCGCTCCCGACCCGCAGACCAAACAAATTATTCTCCTTCCTCCCTCCTCCTTTTATGCCCCGTCGGGTTCATTGCGCGGCCGATTCTCCTGGCTGCGCGGGCGTGTGGCCCATGCGGCGCGCAGTTGGGCTGCTCGCCCTGGACTGGTCGAGGAGGAGGAGGAGGAGGAGGAGAAGGAGGAGGAGGGGGAGGAGGAGGAGGAGGAAAAGGAGGAAGAGGACGAGAACCAGTGTAAACCCAAGAAGCATCCACGATGTTGAGATACCCCCCCGTCCAAGATCCCTCTGCGTAGGTTTCTACAAGGGGTCACTTCGACAGGGAACTGCCCCGTTGGGGGGCAGTCGCGTGGACGTCTTGCAGCGTGCCAGAACACAATCATCACAACTTCAACGCCACGTGTTAATCTGACTGTTGCGCCTTGGCGATCCGGAAACGTGCCGGAACACAGTTTCTGGGATTTCAGCCCCGCGAGTCAACATAACTGCTGCGCCCGGGCCCCGAACTGCTCCAAAACACCAGTTTGGGTACGTCAACCGTGGGTTCCCCCGAAACTCCTGCAGTTTCTGAGAGCGAGTGCTTGCGGCGGTAAGGCGAGAGCCACGCTTCGAAAGAGAACCGTCCTCAATCGGCCCAGCGCATGCAACATTCTAAAGCGAATGTGCGCGGTTCTATGGCGATGCCGACAAGTTGAACGTGACCCGCAGCCAGTCCGTGAAACTTCTGCGAGGTCTCACGACGAGTGCGCACAACACGAAGGCGAAAACCACATTGTGCAAGCGGCCCGCTCTCAATCCGTGAAGCTCTTGCACATCTTAATACGAACGCGCGCGGCGCTAAGGCGAGAACCGCATTTTGCAAACGGCACGCCTTCAATCCGTGATGTTGTTTTACATTTTGACACGGATTCGCGCAGCGCTGGGGCGAGAACCACATTTTGAAATCGGCACGCCCTCAATCCGTGAAGTTTTTGCACACTGTGAAAATGACCCGCCCTCCATGGTTCATCAGGCTCATGAGTGGTGAGGAAGTCTCAGGCGAAGGCCCAGACCAACCCTTTTGACTGGCCCCTGGGCGCGACAAAGAGGAGTTATTTAGAAAGGCAAGGAATGGATGAGGAGGAGGAGGAGGAGGAGGAGGAGGTGGAGGAAGAGGAGGAGGCGGAGGAGGAGGAGGAGGAGGAGGAGCAGGCGGTCGAGCATCAGTGTAAACCCAAGATCCAACAACGATATTGCAATTATTCCTCCCTCCAATTTCCCTTTTCACAGGTCCCAGGATTCCTTTCACTGGGGGAAAGGCCCCGTTGGAAGCCAACCGTTTGAACAACTGGACCTGTGCTGAACATGGCTCCTGGGACCTCGACGCCGCGAATCATCTTCGCAGTTGCGTCATGACAATCTTGAATCTTGCAAGAACATTATTCCAGGGATTCCGACATGGTGCCAAAGCACCGTTTCTGGGACGTCAGTCATAAGAATATTTGGTATTTTGGCGAACCCTTAAGACGAATATGTTCGGTACTAGAAGCGAGACCCGCGACGGTAACGCGAGAGCCACATTTTGAAAGCCAGCTGGTTTCCATCAGTGAAGCTCTGGCAAATTCTAAGCTTGAGGATAAGAAATGATGAAGGAGTCTCCGGCGAAACGCCTGGCCCGCCCTTTCGACCGGCCTCGTGGCGCGACAGGGAAGAGTTATTCATGAGGAGAAAGAATGGAAAAGGAGAAGGAGGAGGAGGTGGACGAGGAGGAGGAGGAGGAGGAGGCGAGGGATGACAAGTATGCATCAGCGATATTGCAAGAATCCCTCCGTCCAAGCTCCCTCTCCACAGGTGCCTATAGAGATAGATTCTCATTGCGGGAATGCCCCATTGGAAGACAACCGTCTGCGAATTCACAATCGCGCCAAAGCGCAATTCCTATGGCATCAACGCTGCGAAGATACGTGACTGGCGCCCCCTGGCACCCCTCAATCGTGCCAGAACGGCATTCCTGGAACGTTCACCAGACGAATCGTTGAAGCCGTTGCACATTTTGAGACGAGTGTGGAGGCACGAATGCGAGAGCCGCATTTTGCTAGCGACCTGCCCTGCATCTTTGAAGCTATCGTTTACTTTAGGACGAATGTGCGCAGCGCTCAGGCGAGAGCCACATTTTGAAAACGGCCCGCTCTCCATGTGATTGAATCTACAGCACACTTTGACGACGAATGTGCCTGGTGCTCAGGCGACACTGACATTTTGAACTGGTCGGGCCTCCATTCGTGAATTTGTTGCACATTTCAATCTCCAGCATCATCCATGGTGAGGAAGTCATGCGTAACGACCTGCCCGCCTAACGACATGTTTGGGGGTGCGGCAGGGAGGATTACCGCTAGGGCAAACGGATGGAGGAGGAGTGGGATGAGTAGGAAGAGGAAGAGGAAGAGGAAGAGGAAGAGGAAGAGGAAGAGGAAGAGGAGGAGGAGGAGGAGGAGGAGGAGGAGGGAGGAGGAGGAGGAGGAGGAGGAGGAGGAGGAGGAGGAGGAGGAGGAGGGAGGAGGAGGAGGAGGAGGAGGAGGAGGAGGAGGAGAGGAGGAGGAGGAGGAGGAGGAGGAGGAGGAGGAGGAGGAGGAGGAGGAGGAGGAGGAGGAGGAGGAGGAGGAGGAGGAGAGAGAGGAGGAGGAGGAGGAGGAGGAGGAGGTAGGAGGAGGAGGAGGAGGAGAGGAGGAGGAGGAGGAGGGAGGAGGAGGAGGAGGAGGAGGAGGAGAGGAGGGAGGAGGAGGAGGGGAGGAGGAGGAGGAGGAGGAGGAGGAGGAGGAGGAGGAGGAGGAGGAGGGAGGAGGATGAACAGGAGCACGGTGCGCGGAGCACAGAGCGGCCTGCCTCGGCAAGGGGCTGGCCCTGGAAGGCAAGAGGAATGAACACACTAAATGGGTCCGCTACAGCGACGCGCGCTCAGCGCTCCCCAGCATGCGCCAGGCGGCAGCGCGCTCAGCGCATGGTGGTAGCTCGCAGGGAAGCGAAACACGCGAGTGCAGGCACGACGCGAAGCTGTGGAGGCACGCCAACCCCAGCAGTTGGATCAGGCACTGCCTCATCGCTGCTGACCTTGCCCACGTCCTGGCAGGAACGCGCCCGTGCAGCCGAAGTATCCCAAGGAGGATCATGGGAACATGCGCCACGAGGAACTCCACGAGGCACACCGGCGCCCGTGCGCTTGGCGCCGCTGGTCCTGGCAGAGCCTGCCCATGCAGCAGCAGTGTCCGAAGGAGGATCACGAACAGCGTGCACTGCGAGGAGCACTGCGAGGAGCTCCACGCAGCACACCGGCACCCGTGCGCCTGGCGCCGCTGGAAGCAGCTGCGGCTGAGGCCCGAAGGTCGAAGCCAACGTCATGTCCCTCCCCACGTTCTGAGGAGGAAAGCGTGCCAAAAGCCTTGTTCTGCGTGGGACGGCGCCAGAGCCGCCGCCAGGGGGCTCCAGTGCAGATCCGAGAAATCGGAGCTGGATAGACCTCCTACCCTGACACGTCGATTAAGGAATTGGCCGTTTTCAGCTCGCGGCCGCCATTTTTGCGGGTCCAGGTCCGTCGGTATCGGTCCCAGGCCGTTTTCACTAAGGGAAGGTTTACTAAAGGGAGGTTTGTCCACCGCCGAAGAAAGAAAGAAATCTGCCCGGACCGCGGAAAGTCCAAGTCTGTGCGGTTTTCTGTTCATCTACGTAG